TAACATAATATATATATATATATATATAATATAAGTTAAAATTTCATTCTTTATTTCATTTATATAATATATTGCTTCTTTATTTCATTTATAGAATATATATAACTATATATAATAGAAAAAAAAAGTAAAATAAATTAAATTTCATTCTTATTTCATTTATATAATATATAACTATATATAGTTTTTCTTTATCTTCTTTATTTTAATTTATTTACTCTTATCTTTTCCCTTATTAATAGAATAATTGCTAACGTGTCAAATTCAAAAATTCAAAAAATATATTTTTTCACTAAAACTGAACAATAATAAATTTTAACCAGTTAAAAAAACTTATTTAGGAAAATGATATAAAATAATTTATAATTTTTTATTATATATTTTCAATTTAGGCTAATTTAATTTAACGGTTATATAAAATAATTTCCTTTTTATATATTTTTAATTTAGAGTAATTTGGTTCGATATTTAGAACAAAAAATAAAATTCAAAATAATATAAGTTAGTTTGGCCAAACTTAAAATTATCATCTGATGTGTGCAAATCGACTAATCCAAATCATTTGACAGTTCTAACTAGTACAAAATGACAATACAGTGTGTTGTATTTTTGTACTTCATTTAAGGTTCAATGCCACGTGTATGTATAGAAGATCTTTGTTTATCTTTATTTTATTTTTCTTTAACGAGAAAGGGTTATTTAACATGGAGTGAGTGAACAATGTGTTCTGCTTATTGGCTGAAGGGCAAATTATTCTTTATAATGTTTCAATCTCCAAGCCTCCTGCCATAAAATTTTTTCATTATATCATATTAGTTTATTATATTATGTACGATACTTTGAAATTGACAACGTATTCATATCATGTTCGTGCCGGATAATTATATGTCTATCTTACTTTTTAACTTCTTAATACGTAGATATAATGATATGGCTGTCTTAATTTTGAACTTATTGACATGCATTTTTTAATAATAAAGGAATTATTATCATAAAATAACATTTTTATTTGAATTTAATTACATTTATACTATTTCGAAATAACTGTTTCAAGATATTAATTAAAGACGAAAAATAATTCCATAGTAACAATAGATAATTTTCTTTCTTAAACAATTGATTGGGAGTTAATTCTTATGTTAATTCCAATCTCAGTACTTATAAGAATTAATTTTTAGCTTTTGATCAAAATTTTGTTTTTATTTTGGTTTAAGTTGGCTCTTTCATCAAATTTTTATACTAACAGTTTAATTTTACTTAATTTAACTTGATATTGCATTTCACAACTTGCTAATGTCACTAAATTAATGTGATAAATTGATAATAAAAAATCAATTTGATCTAACACATACTATAAGAGATTAATATGAAACTTTTTAAACTAAGGATCAAAAAGTTATATTATAGCTAAAAAAATGTAAACAATAAATATAATCGAACTCACATATACATATTATACTCAATTATACATATGTATCTGTGTATTGTACTCCATTATACATGTGTATAAACTTTTTAAACTGTGTTGTACTCAATTATACATGTGTATATCCTTTTTAAACTAAGGATCAAAATTATAGTATAGCTAAAAAATATGTAAACAATAAATATAATCGAACTCACATATAGATATCATACTCAATTATACATGTGTATCCGTGTATTGTACTCAATTATACATGTGTAATGCATGGTTTATTTGTCGCAGACTCGCAGTTATTTCTTTATGGCTACCTTCGAAACATTTTATTGAATAACTTATGCAAGATATGTTTCTAAAGTTTATGAAAACTAGTAAACGGAAATGATTCAGCTCTAGTCATAGATCAATCCATTTCTTTGACAGTCCAATTTTACTGCATGGCCTCGGTACTGGCCTTGTCCAATTATTTTATAATTTCATGGTCTATTTCTTCGTGTGTTCAATTCAACTCGAGATCTCTGAGTTTCCTAATTTACATCGGTTAAGATATCTGATTTTACTGATTGGTATGCTTGTTTGGTGGTTTCAATTTATCATGTTCTTCTCTTTCTTACACAAAGACAAACAACAAATGTTGTATATTTCTAAGTGATTTACCTAACTTGCACATGATTTTTGCAGAATAGGTACAGAGCACGAGAAGTTTGGTTTTGAGTTTAAAACTTTACACCCAATTAAATACAAACAAATATCAGCTTTACTCAATTCCATTGCTGTGAGATTTGATTGGGATAAGATAATGGAAGGTGACAACATCATAGGACTCAAACAAGTAAGTCTTTCAATAACTATTCAATATATTTATCTTTATGAACTTTCATATTTAAATGCTTATTTGAAACAGTTTTATTTGTTATGAGCTTAATGAATTAAATGGAATGTGTGACATTTATATGTGGAAATTTCTACCGCAGGGCAAGCAAAGCATATCATTAGAACCTGGTGGTCAATTAGAGCTTAGTGGTGCGCCTGTGAAAACATTGTATCAAACGTGTGGTGAGATTGATTCACATCTCTACCAAGTCAGTATATTCAATTTCAGAATTTTTACATAGTGTAATTCATAGTTTTTATTTTATTTTATTGCTGAAACGTGCAATGTGTTACTTAATGTTACCATACTACGGACTACAAAATCTTTATTCTGAAGGCAATTTTGGCTATGGGACTCACAACTACACAACAATTTATGAACATGTCATGTGACAAATTTATATGCTTTATAGGCTAAAACTGTTGCAGAGGAAATGGGAATTGGATTTGTGGGATTAGGTTTTCAACCAAAATGGAGACTAGGAGACATACCCAGAGTGCCTAAGGTAATATTTACCTACACCAAACTTTTGAATTAAGAGTGGGATGTTAATACATTGACTTATTTCAGGGACGGTATAATGTTATGCAAAAGTACTTGCATAAATTTAACTCATCTGGAATTGAATCATTTTTCATGACATGCTCGGTTCAGGTGAGAAATTTTGTACATCAATGACTAGTTATACCCATGAAATTATTCTTAAAAGCTAAATCTTTTGGCAAATTTATCATTTTCTTAGTTTTCAACACGACAAATTTTCCCATTTAAAATCCTTTTAGTGTCTAAATAAAATAACAAACAAAAATTAACCATGGATTTAGGTCAACTTGGACTTCAGTTCTGAAGCAGACATGATCAAGAAAATGCGTGCCAGTATTGCTTTGCAGCCTGTAAGAAATTTTGGTGGTTCATTGTAATTTATAACGTTGTTCAAAGTTTCAAATTCATTCCTATTGTAAATAACTTTTATAACAATTATATTAAACTAGTTAGCAGCAGCCTTATTTGCTAATTCACCTTTTAAGGAAGGGGTTCCAAATGGTTACCTCAGCATAAGAAGGTTTGTATGATTGTTTTAAATTATTGCTCACTTTAAGATCAAAATATTTGTTTTCAATTTAATACTGCATTGAACTTTGTTAACATGTTGAGAACAGCCTTAAGGTGGGTCAGCTTGACAAACGTCGCACAGGCATGCTCCCTTTTGTTTTTTATGACACTTTTGGGTATGTTTACTTATTTCTATTTTTACCTTTTGTTTTTATGGCATTTCTAATTTTATTGTCTTTTTTTTTTTTTGTCTATTACTCTTGTATAGGTTTGAGCAATATGTTGATTATGTTCTTGATGTGCCAATGGTGTTTGTTTATCGAAACAACAAGTACATAGACTGTGGTGGCATGTCATTCCGGGTTATTTTCTTTTTTTATTTCTCAAATGTCTCATTATCCTTCCATGCCACTTCATATTATTTATTTTCCAATGTTTTTGTGCAGTATATTTGTATTTAGTTGATGCTTTGTTATGTAGGACTTCATGGCAGGTAAACTGCCTAACATTCCAGGTCAGATGCCAACACTCGCTGATTGGGAAAATCATCTAACAACCATATTTCCTGAGGTTATACTGTGCAACACTAAGCATGCTAAGGATTTTGAATTTCTCTAAATTTTGTACTCTAAGTTGGCCTATTATTAAATTTTGTGCAGGTCAGGTTAAAGAGATACATGGAAATAAGGGGTGCTGATGGTGGCCCTTTGGACATGTTATGTGCTCTGCCAGCTTTTTGGGTAATTAATTTGTCTATGCACAACATAATTTAATGATTGGCAACATCTTGCAGATTAAGAATTTTGTCTCTAAATTTGTATGTTATTTTTGGATTGATAGAAAAAGATAGAATAGAGAAAAGGCTCAAAATAGAGAGGATATTGAGTCCTAATAATACTATAACGTATTATTTAAAATGTTTAAAATATTTCCTCTAATTTGGGAGCATGAAATTAAATCTACTTTTTTTTAATCTTATTTTATGGTAAAAATATCCAAAAAGAAGAACCTTATATATACCAAAAATGATTGTCTGTCACCTAGTCACTTTTTCATTTGATGATTAGTCCTAATTAATTTCATCAGTCATATATGTCGCATGCAGTCAAAGCTAGTATTTTGATCTGACATTGGTTTATTGTGATTAATTTTCTTGTGTCTGATAGGCTTATTGTATGATGATGTTTCACTACAAAATGTTTTAGATATGATTGTTGATTGGACACCTGAAGACATACAAAATTTAAGGAATAAGGTAATGAATACCCCAACTAAACATTTATCTCGCGGAGAAAATGTAGTTGTTTTTCTTGTCTGAATTAGGACTTAATTTATGAAATTTATTTGTTTATTGTTTAGGTTCCCATAACCGGTTTAAGAACTCCATTTCAAGGTAGATTGTTGCTGCATATCGCAGAAGACGTGTTAAAGTGGGCAAAGGTGTCTTAAATTAATTGTTGATTCTTATTACTTTTCTGATTTACAATCTTGAAGTTTGGAACTTGGTTAAGTATCTATATGTATTGTTTTGCAGGATGGCTTGGATAGAAGATGTTTAAATGAATCTATTTTCTTGAATCCATTGAAAGAAATAGCTACAACAGGTATCTAAGTATATATTCATTTCATTTATCATTCATATAAGTCTAGGCTCATGTCTTCAAATCTTGTATCAACACCTTACAACTCATTTTCTAGACAAGTAAAACACATGTTGAAAATGGTACTTGGGAATTTAATTAATTGTGCTACATATTAGTAGAGTAGCACATAAATTGGCTTAGCAAGGGGTTGAGGTATATATTTTTTTGATATAGTTCTTAAAAAGAAAAAAATAACGGTCAGTTTTCTTATTTTTTTTTTAATCCTAGTTGTATGTTATCAAAGTATCTCATGTAGTGATGCTCAATTGCTCATGACTCTAGTTTTGTGTCCAGGTTTCAATTATGATTTTTAGCCATGTACCCTATAGAGTGAATCGTTCAAATTTAAGGGATTTTTCATGCTAACATGCAAGATGAGATGTTTATTGACTTTTGACTTAATTTTTCAAACATTTGACATTACCATTGCATGATATGGACAGGTTTGACCCAAGCAGACAAGCTATTGGAGATGTATAATAACAAGTGGGGAAACAACGTAGATGCTGTGTTTAGAGAGCGCTGCTATTAACTATTAAGTCCACTTAAATTCTCGTATGCTTTAAGAAGAAGAGAAGGAATGAAATGCATACAAAAAATAATGTTTATAGTTTAGACACTGGATAGTTAGTAGTGTTCAATACATATCTATTCATTTATCGTTAAGGTTGGAGGAATGTAGAACAGTCATACAATGTATGAAAAAATCTAGCACGAATAGAATTTTCTTCTAAAATTCAGGAATGTGATAGAGATCATGTCATATTTTTTAAGGTTTTATATTTAAAATTTATAAAAATAAATATTTTTAATATAAATTATTTTAAAAAAATTTAGTAAATAATTTATATTATGATATAATTTTTTTAATTATTGAAAATTTTTATTAAAATATTAAAATTTAATTTATAAAAAAATATGATATTAAGATATTTATTTTAAAATATCTTTTCGCCCAAGATAGTTAATCTAGGGGTAGACTTTTTTTAGGTTAAAATCAAAATTGGAACTTCAAAAAATATATAAGTTGTTTTATCAAAATGAGGTTAGATAAATTATAACATGTAAAGATTTTGTTATGAATTGTTTGAGGTGTTTATAAATTATTTTGGGCCCAGAACTTTTTGGTACATGGAGTAAAGATAAAAAAAAAATTAAAAAATTAAAATACAAACGTTGCTTATCAGTTTTTAATGGCGAAAAAGAGTTTTGAGATAAGTTATAACATGCTAAATATTTTGTTACGAATTGTTAGAATAAGATTTTAAAGATCCAAGACTTCTGGGAATGCTGGAAGAAAGTTTTAGTTGAAGTATTGTCTTTATTTTGTTGAACTGTCAATTTTATTCTTGAACATAAGAGATGAGGGTTGCTCATAAGTTAAAGTGAGGTGAGTTTGGACAAACAGGATCATGATTAAGGAATATGTTGTGAGCGGTTGGAAAGGGTAAAGAAGTCGAGTGAACCTTGAGCAAGTGCAAAAGAGTATAGTTGATCAACGTTGGTCTCTTTTTTCATGTTATTTCTTATGCAATATCAGCGTCTCACACTGCACTATCATTGAGAATACAAACCAAGGCAACCTCTCACACCAATGACCCTCTCATGCTCTCTTTGGCTGCCTTCTATGGACACCTTTGGAGAGGCCACCGGAGTACCACCTGACCCTTCTCTAATGACTTACCAAAGGTTTGTTATGTTTTTTCTTTTCCTATTTCACTTTTGCACCTAGGCTTACCATTTGGTTTTCTGTATGCTTAGTTATCTATCCTTGTGCTTCAATGCTTTGTTATGTTTTGGTTCAGAAGTTGTCTTTTTAATAATTTAATTTGATGGCTTGAGCCAGCATGTATGTAGAGCAATATGATCTATATATCTTATGTATTATTGGAATTATAATCTTATCAAAATTACCTAAGGGCTATATTTCATCTTTGTAATCAAAATTGATGCTTTGTTGACCACTGTGATATTTTATGGGACCAATTTTAATTAGAGAGTAGTAACATTGTTCTATATTAGTTGTGGTATGGTTCAAGCTTCATATTAACAATCCAATATGTGAAACTACGTGATGGTTGAAGCAATGTTTTCTTGTACTTCTGTATGTCAATCTTTTCTGCATAGGTTTCAATATGGTTTAGTTTATAAGGCGTTGTTCTTACTTGCCACATCCATATGGTATATTGTTGAAGAATTAATGTAATTTGTTAGAATCAAAAAAACATGAGATAGCTCCACATTTTTTCAGTTGCATTTATTTGGGTTTGTTTGAATATCAACCCTGAACATCATTGACTGCTCTACAGATGCGAAACAGTTCTTCAACCTGACTCTAATTCAACCATACGATTGAGAAAAATAAATTGAAGGTCAGGCATATAAGCGCAAGAAGACTGATAACATCGCTCAAAACAACATAGTGTACAAGTGCCACCCTAAGGGACACGTAAAATGAATTTGTTCCATCAAATGATAAATCATTGTTAGAGTCAACACCTTCATCAAAATATATCACAAATGAGTCTTGTAAAATTAAATTAGAGAAAGGCACTGTAAGAAAAGATGAAGTGAATGAGATAAATGTGTTTCCTTCACAAGTTGTGGCTAGGATCTCACTCTCATGGACTGTTTAGCTACTCCATCGAGTACAAATACAACAACGTTGTTAGAAGGAGAGAAGAGAACTAGAGATAGTTTCTTGTCCAAGAACACTATTAAAACTACAAACATGTCTGCAAAAGAAGTATCAAATTTTGCGAGTGCATCCAACAAAAGACCAAGAAAATGTTGGACTAGTTTAAAGAAAATTACTAGGAGCAACCAGCATACGAATTGTCAAATCACAAATCTAACAATCCAATTTTTTTTTTTTTATAAGCAGGGAGTTTTTCTATTGAAACCATATTTTTGTAAGCTGTGAGGAGTTTTTTTGAAAGGGAATTGTTGCTCTGGAGTTTTGTTCTCTTGTATGGATATCAATATTTTTTTTTTCTGTTTTCTTTTTGTAATTTTATTTTTTCTCTATGACCAAATAGTTTGGTTGTCTCATTGATTTTTTTTTTTTTTTTTATATTATTATTTCTTTTCTGATTCTCAGTAAAAGGTGTAATCACTATTGAGCCTTTGATTGGATTCAACGAAGCGAATTCATGTTCATAAATCTAATAATAATATAAAGGGATATAAAGGGAAGAAGCTGTAAAACAATTCTCCTTCCTCCAATTTTTTTTATATATAAATCTTATTATTATAAAAAAATAAAATAATAAAAAAAT